CAACAGTGTGGTGAAAAAAACCTCTGTTACAGAACCTCTGTATATTCCATAATAATCAGTTATCTGGGAAATGGAACAAACATTCAAGTGTTAAATGAAAGTGCCAATGGCTGATAAACATGAACATAAGTCTTTCTTAAACAATAACACAGCATATAAATCCTAAAGAGAAACATAGGAAAACAAACAGTGAAAACCCATGCTGACAAAGCTGTATCATGCACAGAAGAAAAGCAAGTATAGACTCAATTTAGATAATTTTAAGTTTTTTTAGAATCTGTAATCACTTGGAAAAAGTGATGCAGTGTGACCAATGAAAAAAGCAAAGTAAGAGTGGCAAATACTTGCCACTTATGAAAATTCCACCAACTGGAGAAAGCGGTACTTCTTAAGGATCTTGCATGAAGCAAAATATATTGCTGTATCATTGCGGGCTTCAGTATACCAAGTTGCAATATGTGCCCCTTGACACTGTACCTGGACAAGACTAATGCATAGGCCAGGCCTGATTACTGGGTTTTCTAGAAGCACGCATAGACATGTTTTTAGGACCCTGGTGGTGACAACAGACATGGATCAACCAACGCCCAGCCTGAAGGATTTTGGCAATGTATGTTCCCAGAGAAGATGGCAAATGGGGAAATCCTAGTACCATTTGAAACTATTCCCCCCAGTAAAATTACAGTTGTTCTTCAACTGGAGTTAACAAATTTCATGTAAAAGTATCCTGAAAGAAAAAGATGTTTCAAGATTAGTAAAGCTGTTAAGTACCTTTAAAAGACTCATGAATATATTAATGAGAGACACCGAAATGGAATAGCACTGTGTTTATTTCCGTGAAACAGAGCATTATAGCAAAGGGTGATACACACTCACAAAAGATAACTATCTATCTTTTATAGGTGTGAAAGGCCTTATGTATAATTTATATAGCATGGGCATCTTTTAGAGTAATGCTCAGTTTATGTACCTTTACAATGTCTTTACACATAAAAATTATATACCGCCATATTCACAGTTATAAACAAGGCATTTATGGAAAAGCCAGCAAACTTTCTTGGAAGGATTATTCTATTTCCACATATTAAATATAGTGAAAAGGGTATTCAATTTGTACTATTTCTTTACAAACACAGCTTCTTTGTCTGAGCCCTAGACAAAACAATATATTTGGGAAGCAGGTAATTTTTTTTAAAAGGTCAAATATCAAGGACATATTAAAAATGTACCCCATTTTTCAAGAGGAAGAAAAGCCCTAGCCAAGTGGTTTGTTCATCATCTGCACAGAAAAAAAGTCAGGGAAAGATGTAGCAAAAGTAAAAACAATTAAAAAAAAGTAAAAACCTCCTCTTTGGTTTTTGTGATCTCCTATTGATTAATGTATTATTTCCCTATTTATATCTTCCTCCAGAAGACATTATCAGCTCGAAAGATATTGTTGAAGAGCTGCTATGCAGAAGCAGATTCCACACCAAGTATTTGATGTGCCACAGAATTCCCCGTTTCCTTTCCATTGCAGGTGCTGCATCTTATAAAATGTAGCAGGAACACTGTGATTAGTTTAATGGAGATAAGCTATGACAGATTTTGGTTAAAAAAATAAAATTTTCACTTTGGGGGAAAATTATTTTCTCTATAATGTTTCAGTATAGAGATTCTGTAGCAATATGTAAGTCCAATTTGACCAATAATCATAATCCTGCTATTTGTAGAAATCTTACTTCAACTGTATTCAGATGCGTAATATCTACAGAAGGCAGTGGACACTGCAGAACTTTAAAAAGGAAATGTAGTTTAAAAGATTCAGAATATTAGTTTCCTTTTCAGTGATTTCCAAACCAAATTTTTTTCAAAAAAACCCTATTCTTATAAAAAACTTTTGCCCTGCCAATCTAAGAAACTTTTTTCTTGGACGGACTCCAAATGCTGTTAAAGTTGTGCATCACTGAGATTAATAGTGATGTAAAGGGAGTTGTGAATTTTATTACAAGAATGTACTGATGTATTGTCTAGGGGCAGCAATTAAGCACTGGCAAGTATTTCTATGTCCTAATTCCTAGTAACAAAAATTCAAAGAGCTTGAAATTATACTTGGGTAGAATATAAAGTTTGATAACATGCACTTGTTTGACCTGGAAATCAAAAGCCCAGTACACAATCCTAAGTCCTTATACACAAAACCAGTCTCTCCAATCATGGTACACTGAAGTTATTTCTGTGCACTCGAGTTTTACCTAGAAGAGAATCCTGCTGACATTAAAGTTTCTTTGCACAATTTGACATACTGCTTTGATTTTGAAAACTCATTTTTGCTGTCATTTCATCTATTACCCCAAAAGTTCTTTGGGTCTTAAATCCTTTGCAAAAGCCAGCCAGCTGAAAAAAGGATTTCATATCTTAAGAGCCACAGCCACACATAGACCTGCCATGCCAGATAGCTTATATAGGGCATATATATTCCTCACTGTTCTATAATAATATTTCTCTTTCCTGACATCCACCTCTTCCTTCACTAATATTACAATATCACTAGGCAGGGAAACAGGGAGGAGAAATACGGACTACTGTCCACTTTAAATTCATTGCTTGCTTGTTGCATGTTATTCAGTAAATGAAGCATAAATACACCCTTCACACAAGAACTTTGGAGGATTCCCCGTGCTCTTCTGTAGATACCAGTGCAACCTGTAAGAATGTGGCTGGTACTAAAGCAAGAGTGAGGAGAGAGTCTGGGACATCACAGGGACGTTGCACAAATCAGAGTCGTGCAGTGCAATATAGAAGCACAGCTTCCATGGGGCAGCACACAATAACCAATATTTATTTTGTTTGTTTTGGATCATTAGGAGAGAAGTCAACATATCCCACGCACACCAGCTGTCGAGGGCTATCTAGAGAATGCTTCACTGGGCACAGAACTGTAGAACTCAGAGATAAAAATGAGCCAGTCCAGGGCTTTTCAGAATAAAATTGTTTCTTACACAGCTGCTGCCTTCGGCTTCTGCAGTTCAGTTTTAAAAGCCTCTGATAGTAATAAAGTACCTGATATTCAGCTTACCTTTCCCTTTTTCTTAATTTCATCTTGGTTCTCCTAATTATATTACCATGTACCACACTAATTGGTGTTCACACATGACCAACTCAGCTACAGCTGGTGAAATTTACTGTGTCACACACCTAGTACAATTTGGGATTCCTTAAAATTCCAGTTGTGTTAGTTATAAAAGGGAAAATACAACTGCACTGTTTTCACAGTTCTTTTCCTTTTTCCAATGGTTTGTGCTACAGGAAAGACAGGATCTCAGTTTGCATATACTGAGTCAATGAGCTCAAACTACCACAGATGTATTTAGGCACTGTCATAAGAGAAAATCCCGGTGAACGGAGAGAAGCCCTCCACTCACATACCATCCCCCACCATACTTCCAGGCATCCAGGATAAATCTACTAGCAGTTTCATTTGTGGTATTGTTCTCGGATAATGATAGTGCGTTTCACCAAGAAAAGAGCAGTCTGCAAATTTTAAAAAACTCCACATAAATATCTGCATTAAAGTCATTGTAATGCATTCTAAAATGAGCAATAACAATTTTATAGTACTAACATCTCCCTCACTACCCATATAATTGTTTCACAAATTTAAGGTATGATTGTAAGCTAATGTGACATATCTGTGCAATGCAGGCAACTGCTAGCAACCCATTCTACAGGACAGGAGGACAAGTGATATAACCAGGGTTATATGGACAATCTGTATTAAAGCACAAATCAATCTCATGCTAACATCAAGCCACAGGAAATTTCTTCCTCTAAAAATTAAGTTACAAATTTCTCATAAACTGTATGAAGTTTAAACAGGTGACCGCTTACACTCATACAAATACCTTGCCACTACACTACCAAGCCAGCACTTTTCTTTCTCCCTTTGTCTAATTCGCAAGAACACAGTAACCTCCATTTTAGTATGCCAAAGGACACAGCACATCTCTGAGAGCCGCAGGTTGAGATAAAGTCTGTTCCACCTACATCAGGGGACAGGGAGTAACTAATGTAGGTTAACACAGCAATCTTTGAAAAAAATCTCTAAGCACGCTGACAAGAAAATGACTTTTGCATTAGGCAAGCAGGTGGTTTTGGGGATCTCCCCAATCACTTCTTCACCTCTCCATATTTACCACTGAAAAGCGTCTCCTCCATCAGAACAGCTGCACACATGAGACTGGTTTAGAACTTCAAGGCATATCAAACCAGAGCAGAAAGGCCCTACTGATTTGGTGAGTACTGCATCTATTTTAGCACCATGCAAATTCACAAAATAGGTCACGATCTAACCCAGGCCACACGGGTTTCTAAGGACTCAAAATCAGGCAGAAGAATCACAAGGCAAAAGGCCCAATGATAGGGAAAGGTGCAGCATAACGCAGTGCCGCTGCCAAGGAAAAGCAGAAGGCACCAGAGGATAGATTTTTCATCACCACAAATGTGTTGGTCTTTTTTTGGTGACAAAAAGGCTATTTTTCTTTGCCACAAAAGGCTTGCATTGAACCAAAAATTAATGTAAAACATTCTTAATGATTGAGTGGGGTGGCATTCATCTGATACGAACTGTGAGTGCACTTGCAAGCAGGCTTTATCCATCCCAGTACTCACCAGGCTATCGTGCACAGCCATGCAGCCGCTGTGTCTTTCCTGGCAAGTGGCGAGGTGCTCGCGTGCCCTCGGTGGCACGGTGGCCGGCAGGCGGCATGGTCACTCCCATAGCACTCCCCAGCAGCCACGGGAACTCAGTTAGCACAGGGAGGATGAGAAGGCCGTCTTCTTGTACAACAAAACTCTCCTGCCACCCTTGCTGAGGCATTACCACATAAGCACAGGTTGCTTCAAAGGCACTTCATAAGATCTATATTACTCAAGTACGTCACCAGCAATTTCTAAGGTTTAGGTGGCAGCACTTGAGCGCATACACCAAAGCACGTCACTGTTCACACCTTGGAAGGACTATGTCCGGTGGGGTGATCTCTACCCACACGGCCGCACCCCACGTTTTGGGCATCAGTGTCCATGTTCGCTGTGTGGCGGCGCGGGGGCTCTCTGTGAGGGGAGGGCGGGGCCGCCCAGGGCCGGTTCCCGCCGGTTCTGCAGCCGCCCCCGCGCAGGGCACAGCTGAGCCCCTCAGCCAGGCTGGGGCGCCGCTGGGGAAACCTCCCGGAGACAGGGCAAAACCCTGCCCGGCAGCGAGCGGAAAGCGCGAGAAAGCGTGAGGAAAAGCGCAAAGAAACACGTGAGGAAAAGCGTGAGGAAAAGCGTGAGGAAAAGCGTGAGGAAAAGCGTGAGGAAAAGCGTGAGGAAAAGCGTGAGGAAAAGCGGAAAAGCGCAAGGAGGGCGGGAGGACAGCTTTGTGGCCCTCCTCTGCCCTGCTGACTGCACCCCTTGAAGCCCCACTGAAACCAGAGAGGGCACAAATGAGTCTTGCAAATGCAATAGAGCAGCAGGTTCCGTTTTACCAGGGAAAACAAAGGGAGACGAAATTTCTCCGTCCAACAGGAACCAACGCCTGGTGTGACACCACTGCAGGTGCTCAGCCAGTCCTGCCGCCTTCCACCGCAGCCGCTGCTGGCCATGGGGACACTGCCAGTCCAGACAGATGGACAGAGAGCTGGTGACATCCAAACCGGTCTCTTAAATGGTAAGCTCCCCAAATTGTCACACTCTTCAATTTCTGCATCTTTCTGAAAGGAACGCATCCAAGAAGCAAACAAGCACATCTTAACTTAAGATCACCAAACAATTTAATAGGTATTCACGATTACTTAAGAAAAAGCAGTGTCCAAGCTAATTCCAGCATTCAAACACACAAAGTACTGTATTACACCACACATCACACCCCCGCAGTAAGAAAAAATGGCAAGAAGCAGATTCAAAGGACTCTGCTTGAGTGTCTGTGAGTACAGCTAAATAAGTGTTCCTGCTAATCAAACACTTTTTGCATACTCGCTCCCCTAGAACTATTTGCACAGCTCTGAACTGCTTGGGTGCTAGTCAAATGGATTTGAACACACACAAACCAATCTTTTACTTTCATTTTTTTCAAAAAGCTTGAGAGATTATGTAATATTTAATAAACTACACCTAAGACTCAGTAACATACTATTCATATATTTTACATTATATGGCACCATTTTTATTGTGCAAGCAATATTTTTAATTTATTTTTTCATTAAAGATGGCAATTGGTATTATACATTTTTACAACAGAGAAAAATATTCACCCTTCATGCAAATGAGATTTCCAAATATTAAAGAAATTTGAAATTTCTTTATAGATTTCATATTACTAGTAGTACTCATTGCCATTTAACTCTATGGAGAACAAAAAAAGAAGAATCCAATTCATCTTATTGAATGTGTCCATAAATCTACTATATTAAAATTAAATTCAAGCTGTAAAACACAAATATATTTCACTTTAGGGAAAAAAAAAAACACCTGGGGGGCTGAGAAGCAGGATAAACTTTTTAAAAATCATGTAAGAAAAGAAGTGATAATGAAATGAATCAATACAAAGGCCAACAGACCTTTACAAAAACTTGAATTTGAGTCTGCTAAAACATTTCTTCAGGATATTTTAGGCTATATTCGGCAAATATTAGCTGTCTTGAATCTAAATGTTCAGGGCAGCTCTGAACTTCAGAGAGGTCCAAACCAAACTTTACACTTGGAACTGCTCTCGTATAGAGACATGTTCTAGGGAAGTGGAGGAGAAATAAATACTTTAAATGCGGATGATTCAGGCGAAAATGCAATTTAATTGTGTCAACTATAACACCCACAGCACAAGAACCCACCCATCACAGTTGTGAGATCATCTCTGATAAATCAAAGCCCAGTATGTTTAGTACTCACTGTATTAAAAAAGAATCTGTAGATGAAGGCAGCGTTGCCACCCCAGAAATAAAAAAAAAAACCTAACTGCATGAGATTCACACGTTTATACATTTTCCCAGTGTCTGTCTCTTTTGGGATTCAGTGAGCTTAGAACAGTTCAAGAGGCAAAATCTGCTTTGTACCACTTCCCTTGTTGAAGTCTTGGGACCCTACTACAAAATTGAAATTGGAACCACCAGTTCCACTTTTTTTTATGGGGTGACTGGGGAGTTTAACTGCCTGCTCTGTCTTCACGTCCTCCCAATAAGCATCCTACTTTCCCTTAGCATCCCAATTTTCCAAGAATAGTCTGTATAGATGGGAACTATATCACGACCCATGCAGTTCCGTGCAGATTTAAGGTATTCCCTGTGTCAATGAGTACATGCCAGTATGCTTATTATTATTATGTTTTTATTCACAGAATCACAAAATGGTCAGAGTTGGAAGGGACCTCTGGAGATCATCTAGTCCAACCCCCAAATTTCCAAGGCCCAGCCCACTCATTTGTTTTTCATGTGCAGTTCAGACACCAAAGTAAACTGATTAGTTTCTGACTTTTAATACACCGTTGCCTTTTTTTTTAAAAAAAGAAATTTTAATTTTAAAATGCAATCTATCCTTTGTGTAGAACTGGCAACAGCATGGATGTAAAGCTAAAAGAAGGTGATCAGACCCCAGAAAGTTAATAATGTGGTGCTAGCAAGAACATTTAATTGATTAACAGCACAGCTCAATATGTAAACACTGTGCTATAAGTAAAGCTATGAGGTAGCCCGTCACTTCTTAGTGGGCTTCCTCAAGAGCTTCATTCACAAGCCTGTTAATTAGCTGGGGCCCTTCAGTGTCCACCATTCAGGTTTAAATCACTTGTTTCCCATTATGCTGTGTACTATACACTGCAGGCCCATAAAATCAGGCTTTAATGCTTCTATCAGCAGGGCTTCTGGAAGTCAACTTTAATTATTATAGGTGAAATCTTCCTAATCCTTGTAAACAAAAATGATTAAAATACAATGAAGTAGAAGTTCAGGGATAGTGTTAAAAACTGGAGTATGGTATGGTCAAATACCATAAAGTTTATTCCTCTTAGTAAGAAAGAACATTTAAGATCAATATATTTTAAAAATGCCAGAAAACAACATGTTTTTTCATGCAAATTCAGACAGTGAGTTGATAAATTTAAGAGCCTTTCGAGTTCTTTAAATGCTGCATTTTGCATCATACACTATCTAGACTTGGTGATTCAGTTCACATGAAAAATAAACCAGACCACAGGGCTAAAACTAACAGCAATATTTGCTAAGTGTGTCATATGCACAAAATAATGATATCAAATTATATTTAATTATGTCTAATACTTAGTTATTCATTCAAATTGAGTACTTCCATATAAAATGAATCATTGCATTACTTAACGTCATGTTTCTCGCTTATATTTGAGCATGGCTTTGATTTACATTGCAAACTAAGATCTACAGATTGCCAGTGTCAGCTTCAACAAATTAAAAAAAGGCAAACAGGACAGGATTAAACAATAATATAATAGTTGCAAATCAAATGCTCTCTACAATCCTGTGGGATATAAACAGCTGTTTCCTGGGTTTTTAAAAACATATTATGATTTAAATCTCCTTAACAATTAGACAAAATAATTTTATAGCACTTTAAAATATTGCCTGCAAATGAATCTGACAAGCAATGAAGAAAAAAATGTTCTCAGTACCATTTCAAATCATATTTGTTGTGCAACACAAACAAGAAAATTCAGAATTTCACTTTTAAACTAAAGCTACATCATCATCTGTGACTTGTGACCTGAAAGAGTATCAGAGAACAGCAATCTTTCAGGCTCACATCCAGCTCTTAGGTTCACATTTTTCACTTACATTCTCTTGTCCAGTGTTTAGCTGTTACTTATTTTTTCAGTGAAAATACTACCACAATAGCAAAGCCCCCCTTTTCATCAGCTGTGATAATGAAAAAATATTAAAAATTAACACCACGGGATCCTATACCTCCAATACACATACAATAGCCGATTTAGGGATTCAGTCTTGCAAATTATCCATCAGATTAGGATTTAGAAAAAAATAAATGACGCTGTTAATAAAAACTTCCTTATTACATTATATAAAGTAGAAAATTATAAACAAACATCTCCAATGGTTTATATTATGGTATAAACCTTCCAACAGTAAGAGTTAAAATTAAAACCAAAGCAAATCACCCCAGTTGGCTATGACTAGACTTCTTGCACTGTCCTGTGAAGCAGCTGGTACTTGCTGCTCTTGAGGCAAGGACATTGCCCCTCCAATACTGTTGTTCTGAGTGCCTACCATCCTATACTCTTTAAATCCATCTTACTGGGGCATTGTATGCAACAGCTAAAGAAATTAAATAATTTGATTTTGTCATTCAAATGAAAACAGAATTTTTATCACTTAACTAAAAGCTGAATTTCAGTTGTATTGAAAACAACAATTCATTGGGTCAGCACTCTGCTAAAGACAGTAAACCTTACAGATGAGAGGGAGGAAAATGTTTATTGCAATACCTCTGAATTACAGAGGACATATTATTGCATTAATACACACTGCTGCATAGCATTTAGCAAATGTTGAAAAGAGACAAATTGAAAGAGATAAAACCCCATATCTTGCTATGAAGCTTAATGCAAAATTCCCATAGATGCCAACAGATAACTCTATCCCAGTGTGGCAGGTTTGGGGCCAAAGGCAGAACTGTTAAAAATACTTTGAAGATTACACCAGATTTTGAGATTCCAAAATTAAAACACTTCACAGTAGTGACTACCATGAAAAGTTTGTTTACATTTTATAAACCATGTATAATAAAGCTTTGTAAATTAATGTACAGAAGTACCCTAATCTATTATCCCCCTTGAAGTCAATGGAACACTGTTGAGAAAAGCCCGACAGTTTCATTCTAGCTACAGCGTTATTAGCCAAAATACCTAGCAGATGTAGTAAATAAAACCTACATGTCAGTAGCTGACGACCCTCCCTTACACTGTGTACTAGTACCACAGCTTTGTCTGGGTACATATTTTGCTGGTTTATTTCACATGTAATTGTAGTTCTTGTTCACTAAGAGCTTTGAAAATCTCTGTGAATCTCAGAAAGCATAAAGTTATTAACTGCGTTGTCCTGTCAGGACTGAGACTGAAGTGTAACTCCATCTATGCATATGCCACGTACTATAACAGAAATATGCAGTTTTCTATTTCAGTAACTGCTTTGTTCAGGGACATTGAAGAACAGTTGTATTGAATAGGCATCTCTTTACAATATGTCAGTCAAAGCCTCTAAATATAAGAGCACTAAGCTCCAGCAACACTCTAGCAGGTCAATACTTCTTAGTAAACACTCACGGATGGATTTTGGAGGCTGTTTCTCTTTGCAGGAAAAAGCCAAGGCTACATATACTATCACTGTTCACAACAAATAAGATGTAGGACAGCTGATGTTCCTTTTTAGGTGACAGCATGAGCTCTGTTTTAGAGCTTTGAAGAAAAAAGCCACAGTCCTTGAATTAATCACATAATCATTTTAACACTGCTGAAATCTATATAGCACTGATGAGATATTTCACTTGTCCTATTCAGGTGGAAGAATCCTGAAACCTGGAGTAGTTCATATACTATTTCACATGCTTTCCATCATCACCTTCCACCTTTAGCAAAATCATTTACTGTCTGTCACTCTAAAGGTTTATTAATTTGATCAAAGGCAAAGGATA